AAATGTTTTGACCCCTAAAATCTCCTAAACCCTCATAACTAAACCCTAATAGAACATAATTAACCCAAACATAAATGATATAAAGAAAAAATAATTTTGAAAAAGTGGTATTTTTGTAAATATTTCAAAAGTGTGGCATTTTTTAAAATTTCTCTTAAAAAATACTCATTTGTTAAATAAATATGTACAACTCATATTTATTTGAATTGTATCATAAGTATAAATTATGTTAAATTTGGTTTGTCCGAATATTTTAAGCAGAATTTAGAACACAAAAAGACTTACCAAATGTTTTAAAACATTAAAATATATAAACAAATTTTATAATAAAACACGGATTAAATTTTTTTTTATTACTTTCGAATTAAATCATATTTTTGTTACTTTCAAATTGTCTTGTGTTAAAAAAAAATATTTCAAAAAAATAATTATATTTGTTGTTATAAGTTGGGAAGTTTTTTTCACAAAACATATCAAAATTTCTTTTAAAAGTTTGGTAAATCTTTATTTTTGTTTTTAAAAAATATATATATATTTTATGAAAATGTTCTAGAGTTTTATAATTACAATAATCAATTTCTAAATTATTTTTAAATGATAAACTAAAATTTATATATAATTTTAGAATGGAAAAGAAAAATCTGATAAATTCAAATAATTTTGTGAGATTAATTTTCGTAGGTATAAAGTTTAATGGGCTAATTACAATAAAAATTTAATTAGTTTTCTCATAAATTTTTTTATTTTACTTTGTTTTTGAGTTAGTGGACTAAATTTATGTAGATTTGCGAGATTAATTTTTCTGGATATAAGTTTGAGTGGGTTAAATTAGTGGAATAAATGTGTGATAAACATTATTGAGTAAGCTAATTTAAGTAGTTTTGTAAGCTAAATTAGTGGGATAAATATTTGATAGTTTTGTAATGTCATATTTAAGAGAATTTCATGTCATAATAAAATTGGTGAGAATGATTTTACTGATAACACATAAATAAATTTGAGAAAATCACTTCTCAAATAATGTACGAGGGATGATTAAACCCGGATAATGACAAGTCAACGATGCTATCACAAACAAATATAGTTATTACTATGTAAAATTCATAACATCAATTAGATTACATTTTTGTTTTCTTATTCAACGGAGACTAGAAACATAAGGAAATGGTATCATTGCTACATACATGCATTAGACCGAGTAATTAATGCTCAGTCAATTCATGAACCCAGATTTAGAATTTTAGTTTTGTAGTCTTTAGTCCTATATACGTATTCAATAGTATTACTATTATTATGACAAATTACGTGTATTAAAACATCTACTAAATTCAGAATCAAAACTCACCTCTAGAGTTTGACCATCAAAAAAATAAAAATAACTCCCCAAATTTTCTCTCTATATTATATTCATGAAAACCAATTACACCCAAAAAAAAAAAAAAACTGCATGACAATGAAAATGAATATTACTAAAATTTTCGGTGTAGTCACCATCATCACCACCTTCTACTCCGTTCATGCCATGGCACAAATCGGAGAAGCAATGCGGTGCATAGTAAGATTGTTGCCGTGTCAACCGTACATTCATTCAGAGGCTCCTCCTCCGTGGTGTTGCTCACCGATGAAAGAGATCGCCGAGAAAGACGTGTCATGTCTATGCGCAGCCTTTAATCACCCTGGCATGCTTAGTTTCATTAGCCTTACCAAAGAGAACGCTATTAGTCTCCTTACGTCATGTGGAGCTAATCATGATTTCTCAGTTTGCACTAAGAATTCTCGTGAGTTTTGTTTTAATATAGTCTTAGCTTTATACTATGTGTAATTATTGTATTAATTGTATAGATTATATACGACAATTAAACATATTGTTTAAGCAAATGACACCGTTCTGATATATGTATTTGTTTTGATTTTCTTAATGAAGTTTCTGAATCTGCTGAATCGCCAGGACCTACGACTAGCGGTACGTATTTATTTATCTGATATTAACCTTTAAATTTTGGATTTGTTATTGAATTTTACGTTATGTAATTATTTTAATACTTTAATGTTAATCAATTCGAATTTGTTATATGAAGTAACTGATGTGACCTTTTAATTGAATCAGGGAGCTCTTCCGAGGGCAGCATCACGAGAAATGCAGCCCTAGCTATAAGTTTTTTGGGAT